ATACCTAAAAGGTCACCTGTCTCCATATGTGCCCACTTGGGACCTAAGATCTTCATTGGAGGCCCTCAATGAGCTTTGTTGCTGGGTAAGCTGTGGCAGGTTACAAGGGAAAAGGTCTTTTCTGTGTCGATACAGAATGCTTATGGAATGCTCTTCCCAGATGTTTACCTGGTGCCTACCACAGCCATTTTGGCACTTTTTTCATTTTCTCGTGCCTTTTGATTTATTTTAACTTCAAATCTGATTTTTGTATTTATTTTTCGTTTTATGCTGTTTTTAAACCCCACACCCAGACTGTCTTGCTATTGCCCGATCTTCTGAGTTTCCCTGACAATTTGCTGTGGGGTCTGATATAAATTTCCAAGCAAATAAATAAAACAATTAGAACTCAATCTGAATCCATGGGCATTTAGATTTCAGACATGAACTGGAAGTTAATACGCGATCCAAGACATTCTTGCAAAACATCAGCATTTAAAGTGGGAATTCTTCCTCATACTTTCAGTGCACATATTTTTTTGCCATTTTGGACCAGAGTAGGAGGTAAAGCATAGAGACTGCAAACCGACCCTCTAGTCTCTTTTCCTGATTGTAAAAAAACGAGATTCTTAGGTGATGGCAATCTCTGTGTGTTTTTGTTTAAAGTGGGTCACATGCCCAGGAATGCAGTCAAATTATAATGGTGACAAAGTGCCGGAAAAGGGAGGGAGATGGGGGGGGGGGGAGAGAGAGCCCCAGGCGATGGAAAGAGAGCTGGGAATACTAGAGTCTGGCTAGGCCTCAGGGCCAGGTTAGAGATTCTCCCATGCATTAACAGCTATAAGAGATGTTTGTTTAAAGGGATATTTTCTTCTTCTTAGGGGTGCTTTGTCATTTTTTAAACAATACAGGTCATCAAGAACAGAGAGGGATGGTCAAGAAGAATAGTTGCACACCTTGGTGCACTTGCTCTTGTTTCTTCTGCTATGTATCTTATCAAACTTCATGTTTAATAGTTTCAAACATTACATTGATAGAGAAATTCTACATGTGTTATTTTTTAAAGTAATTGTTAACTCAGTTAACAAAGTAAGGGACCCCTGACCATTAGTTCCAGTCGTGACCGACTCTGGGGTTGTGGCGCTCATCTCGCTTTATTGGCCGAGGGAGCCGGCGTACAGCTTCCAGGTCATGTGGCCAACATGACTAAGCCGCTTCTGGCGAACCAAAGCAGTGCACAGAAACGCCATTTACCTTCCCACCAGAGCTGTACCTATTTATCTTCTTGCACTTTGATGTGCTTTAGAACTGCTAGGTTGGCAGGAGCAGGGACCCTATCGTGGGGATTCGAACCGCCGACCTTCTGATCGGCCAGTCCTAAGCTCTGTGGTTTAACCCACAGTGCCACCCGCGTCCCATTTTGTTAACAAAGTATCAATAAGTAAATAAATAAAGCCACAATCCTAAACATACATCCTTGGGAGCAGGGATGCCCACATTGAATAAAATGGTTTTTTTGGGGGGGGGCAGGTAAACCCTATCCAACATAATCAATCACATGACACAGCACACACAAACCATTTGAATAGCAGTGTCCATAAACTTTGCGGGGAGTGGCCCCCTCAAATATTTTATTGGGGGGGGGGGCAAAGGGACCTCAGGCCCCAGGAGTTGGCCCCTATGCTTGGGAGTAAACCTCATTGAACAAAGTGGGGCTTACTACTGAGTAGACTTGTATAGGCTTCCCCAGCGAAGCCTCTCTTTGTGATAAAAGAAATTCAAGTCAATGTGAAGGTGATAATTGCTTAAAATACATAAGAATACGTGGCAGGTTTGAACTGATACAAGGTGAACTTCCCATGCTCCTAAAAATTGATGGAAAAACTTCATGGGCCAACAGGATCTAAACTTAATTGACTTTATTAAAACAATATTGTTAAGTCAGTATTAAAAATACTTTTATTGCCGGGGCAGCTATTCTGGTTTGAGTTGCAGGGAACTTCAAGTCCTTCAGTAGCCAGTGATTAATATCCCTCTAGTATCACTTGTTCTAGCACAGCTTATTAGGATAGGAAAAGAAACTGTTTAAAAGCAGCACCTTACTTCACCCATTGTTTTAAATCTCTTCTGTGCCTCATGTTTTTTTAGTTCTATCCACTGATGCATGAAAAGAGCTTTCTTCTTTGTTAGCCCCCACCGCTAATGGGGAACTAGACATCTTCTATTCAGTCTCATGTTTGATGGATGGAATTGCTAGCAAATCTCCAATTGCAGACTTCTTTTTTTGTTGTTTGGGGGCAGAACATGGTTCATGTTTCTACTGCTATCCTTAAGGGTTAGCTTACTGCTGTGATTTTCTTAGAGACAGTGCTTGCTATAGTCTTGCATTTCCAGTGTAAGGGGAAATGCCATGGGAAGGCAGTTGGTATCTATTTGTCCTTTTGGAGGTTACCGTCCAGCACAGAGTTAGCTGCAATTAAGCTCCACAGATTTGGTGGGACTTACAGTGCAATTATATGCATCTCTGCTCAGAACGAAACACCATTCAGTGGGTTTACTCTCAGGCAATTGAGCATAGGAATGCACCTTTATGTACCCGTAGCTGTGTACTGGGTAGTGGTCCATGTAAGCAAGCAAGAGTGGTTTCCTGTTGAGAGCAGAAGAGTAGAGTGCTCTCAGCCATTGGTGTTTGCTACTGGGTCTGTCTATAAGTTAACCCACATCTATATCAGAATTGGCCTCATTTAGTACCTAATTTTACTAGTCCAGAAGACTTTATGGAATCTAAGGTAACCTCTAGTATTGTGGTCTTTCCCCTTTAAAGGTCACCTTCATGATGGTGAAACAGAAGGGGTTTGGCTGAGTTACATGGGATGGGGAAATTTACAACAGTAATAAAGGGTGTTGTAATAAATCCTTAAAGCTCCAGCTGCCTACATATGGACAGTGCTGCTGCAGGCAACAATGGAGTTTTATACTTACTTATACTGTACCTTCAAAATGTACATTAGTGCTTTTATGGTATAGCAGGAGTGGGGAAACCTCCAGTCCACAGGCCATATTCGGCTTGCCAGTCCCTGGAGACTGACCTATCAGGACTTTTAGGGAAAACCATGGCCACCTTTCTTGCACCTAACATTTGAAATTTCAAGCTGCAGCTAAAATGAAGAAAAATCAAAAGCCCATTATAAACGTGCCCCTGATTCTTTCCTTGAATCAAAAGGAAGATTTAGTACTGGGTGAAGAGTAACATAAGGGAAAAAGAAGTATCTGCCACAGAGATCTTACAATACAAATCTCAACACTGGTCGACAACAGAGGGAGGTAAGAAAGGGCAAGGAAAGGGTAATGGATGGAACGTGAACAAATGCCGTTACACCTGCTTAGGCTACCCCACTGAAGTGGTCACTAGCTAACTAGCCTGAACTCACCTTTCTAGTTCCATGAGAACAGAAATCCTTTCCAAGTTTGTGTTAATAATAAACAGCCACAATAGCCCTTGTGCTGTTACCTGCCGTGCATTTGAACGGTTGGTGCCCGTGAGCCTGGTGCTGGAATGCACAAATCCAGGACAAAAGCATTCCTGCAGTTTTGTTCCTCCCACTGTTGCCTGCTTAAAGTAGCTTTCTTTCATGCAGAGCTCTTAGAGGATTCTCTTTATTTGCTTTATCAGTTCACCGACTGCTAAATTTAGACTCTAGCTCTTGGTAGTATTAAAATAAAACCTCCTTGGCCTCCCTGAGTGATCATGTTTGTGCCTAATTTCAGAGATGAAATGGGTTGGTAGTACTACCTTGCTGGCTTTGCACCTGGACTAGTTGGTAACTTCCACCTTGCACGTTTCTTTTGGGCTTGTGTGTGAAGATTCATTGCAAGTCACATACTTTGAAATGGGAAAAAAACTATTTGCTATGGCTCCGGAATGTGGGGAGTGAAATCCTGGCTTGGTTTTCTTTTTGGAATGAGCTTTTCAAAATTCGGAAGTGTAGGGTATGTGCCAGTGCTGCAAGTGGAAGTGTAACTGGACTACGGGCACACTAAATATAGTGGCTGTAATAAAGGATTTTTAAAAATGGGAATCGATATCTTGATTTGTTTCGTGTTTCAGCAGAGCGTTTGGTACATTACCTCATGTGAAATAATTAAAATGGAAAATACATTTTTACACTGCAGTCCTGTGTAAATTTGTGCCATAGCAAGTTCCATTACATTAATGAAGTTTACTGTCAAGTAAAAGTGCATAGAGTTCAGCCTTAATTGCTAAAGGAAGCTGACCAATGGACTTATTTGAAAGGTAAATTCTCTTGAGGAATTGGATGATGGATAATGCCATTATATAGATTAGTCCACTAGGTGGCCTTAAAATGATTGTTCTCCAAGCGATGTTCAGTCTTTCTTTTTGGTTCTGCTCTTGCTTAAAGAGGAAATTAAGCTTTGTCACCTTCCTGAGTAGCATGTCCTCTAGCTTCTTGACAGATGCAATAATTTTTTGGAAGGTTGGTCTGGGTTGCCTGTTTTTGAGTCATATATTCATTTAGCAATTTTAGTAAAATTTTGCCCTCCTGTAATTTCAAATCTGTAATTGTCTACATGAGGAAAGACGTATATTTTTTCATTCCTGGATGTTTTTCTTTTGCTGGGACAATTATGCAGTTGTCTTCTTGAGATCTGTAGCAAAACTAGTCTGTGGCTGTATAGTTATGACTTGGATCTATCATGAACTGGTTTATAATTCCTAACATAAAATATAAACTAGCAGGTCATAATTTTAATGATTTAAGGAGGCACAAAAACATGATGGAAAAAAGAGTGTTGAGAACTGAAAATTGCTCAAGCTGATGTAGTTCTACTTCTGGTAGCTTTCAGCAATACTACAGTGGCATTGGTTGGCAAATGTTATCTCCCTTCTTCCTTCAAGCACTGGGATAGTGATGGAGTCATCTAGTTCCTTTCTGTTATGTCATTAAGCTGATGGAGTCCTACCCAGCCCTGACTTTTCTCTAATTACTCTTTCTCTGCAGAGTGGCTGGTGTTCCAGTGAAGGAAAGGGTCAAGGTTTCTCAGAACTGGAGGCGTGGACGCTGCCGGAAAATCCCACTCCTCAGATGGAAGCGCAAGCAAGTGGCTCCTTCTCTTTTCTCCTGCCCCATGATTTTCAGCTAGAATTCTCTCTTGTCTTTTGGAGCTCATCCCATTTTTTGTCTCTGTTCAGCTCTTGCATCTCTTTGGTTACACAGTGTTTGAGCCTCTTTAACTTTTGGCATTCTTAGATTGGGTAGCTGTTGATGCTGCTTTCTCTGCAACCTGCTTTCATTTGCCAGTACTATAATACCAAAACTCCCTGAATGCTCTGTGTGTTGAGTCATATTCTCAAATTATCAATGAAAGCTCAGTGTCCAAGTTGCTTGCTACTATGCAGGAAGAATATCTACAAGCAGAAAGTGGTGAATCAGCTAACTTTAAACAGGAGTGTTTAATGTTGCTGCTGATAATTGCTTCTCTTTCCTCTCAGTTCCAAAAGGATTAAGTGCTTCCTCCCCATCTCTACCCATACCCAGCAAATACCAAGTTGTTACTCATTTGGTTCAGGAAAGTTTTTGCATCTTTCCTCCTCAATATAGTGCTCATATTGTGAGGAAATTGCATTGTCCCAGTACTAAAATGGCAGATTTTGTCGCTGGAAAAATTGTTTTCCTCCCAGCTAGTGCAAGAACATTGAGGAACCTGAGATGCTACTGGGGATGAGTTGCCACCTTTCATGCCTGGACCATTCTTTGATTTCCATGCATTGAATTTTATTATTTTTCTATCTTTTGTTCTCCCCTTCCTCACTATATGCTACTTAAATTAGAGTGGGGGTGGTGGAATTAAGTAGCATAGGGGGTGAACAGGGAAGACAATATCCAGTCTCTGATTTTTTAAAATGCTAAACATCACCAAAGTTTCCAGCTCTCCAAAGAACTGCCTGCTTTTACATGGATCACTTATTAACATAATATTTTTCAATAATAATCATTTGAGGCTTGTTTGATTCCAAGTCTTTGGATTACAATGATAATAATATTATTAAGGTTGTGAACCACCCTGTGATCTTTGGGCGAAGGGCGGTATAAAACACAAACAAACAAACAAACAATATATTTTTTGTCCTTCTTTTAGGGAAAACCCCTTTCCAAAGACAGTTAACAAATATAATAATAAAAAAGGTAACACCATACATCACATAAAAGCAAAAGTAAAAGCTTTCTCTTCACACCAGCAGTAAAATAGCACCATCAGTTTAAAATCACAGTTTAAGATGGGGGGGGGGTAGTACTTGGGTGTGTGTGTCACATTTTCTTTTGTATATTTTCTTACAGCTTTGCCAAACAGGGAGGTACCTCCCCACAGCAAGGCTATATATTCTATGGGCTATGGTGGTTGGGTTAGAGTTAGTACAAATATATCATGGGATTCTTTAAAAGCATTTGGAAAGGCCTGAAGTTCCATAATAATTAAGAGTTTAGGATGTTTGTAAACTGTCAGCATAGTTTCTAATATTTTATTATATTTCCCCCTCCAGTTTAATGCCCTGGATGCAGCTGGATGATGACTACCTCTACCTATCCCAGGCAGAAGACATTCAAGTTTATTGGCTCCATCCCAATGGTACCAGCTTGCAACACTGTTCCCAAGCAGTCTTCTCTGGCCACCAGGAGGACGTGTGCCGCTTTGTGCTTGCTAATGGCCATATTGTCAGTGGAGGAGGGTAAGCTCTTTGTTATAGGGAAATAAGAAGGAGGGTGATGGTAGTTGAGCATCCAACATTGGTTTATAGGTGCACTTGAGCAAGAGCTGGAAGAACTGACTTTCAGAGCTCCTGCATTGCGTGACTGACTCTTATTTAAAGGATCCCTGTTTGGGGATCACTGGGCAAATCAGTCCCCATGGCCAGGGTGGTGTACATGCTGTGATTCTGCAGAAGTGTGAAATGTTATATGGGGCAACAAAATTCAGTTTACTGAGAATTTAAGCTTTCTTTTATTTTGCTCTTAAAGGGCAGGCTTCTGGCCCTTACAGCTGCAAGGATATGATCAAAAACTGAAGGTTGACTGAAACAGATTTCCAATGGTTGCAGTTGGAGCATCTGTGGCCTGCATAGCCTTGGTTATCAAAAAATGTGGAATAATTTATGCAAAATAAGAGATTATGGATTTTTGCTCAGTTTGCATAATTTATGCATGTGGCTAAATTCAGCTTCTCTTGGTACGGAATATGGGTTGCTTAATCACAGCTTGTATTTCTTTTTTAGTATGGCATACACAAACAGCCCTCCCCAGGCCTGTCCTGTTGCAAGACTGTGACCAAGACTGTTAAACCATGTGTGTGCTTTGTTCATTTGCCATGTGGGGGTCATGGATTTGCTAAAGAAACCTTTTAGGACATGTGAGCAAGTCCTTTGTTGTTTGCACAGCCTTCAGTGGCAAATTAAGTATAGAATGTATATGCTCTATTAGATAAATACTTCCTGAATATCTCTGTATACTAGTTTTTGAAATAAATGAAATGAAAGGGCAACTTTGCATCAGTTTCTATCATTGTTGTACCTTGGGGTTTTCAAGACCTGTTGGTCTCAGAGGTGAGATCTCTCCTGTCTGCATGTGCTGGGTTGAATGTATGTGTAGATAATGTGTTGTGTTTAGGAAATGAAACTACTATTGTACTGGTATATCTCCAGCTAGAACATGAAGAGCACTTCTACGTCATGCTCTCTCAAATCCGTCTTTTACATTTTCATTGGCAGGGATAATCTGAAGCGGAATTCCGTAAATTGACCCTCAGTGAAGGAGAGTAGTTTTGGATATGAGAAGCTCTCATGCCATTTGCCTTGTGGCATTTGTTCCAAGGAGATGCACCTTCTTCACTGTGGTTTTGTTTTTCAGAGATGGCAACATTGTCCTTCATAAACTGAATGGCTCCTTCAGCTTCAAGTTCTTGGGGCATGAACAGGAAGTGAACTGTGTGGATTGTCAAGGAGCTATCGTTGTGAGTGGTTCACGGGACAGAACAGCAAAGGTGAGTGTGCATGTCTTGCTTTATACTTATAGGAGTGTGTGTATGAAAAGAAAATCGGAAGATGGAATGGAGGAATACTGTTCTCTTTCCTCTCTTTTGGATTAACAGTTAAACAAACTTTTCAGCTTTGTTGCTGCCCATTTCCAGGATTTTCTTACATCTATACAAGTTTATCTCAAATGTTTCAGACATGGATCTCAGAGCCACCTGCCCAAAGTGGAGTAACTAACTACATTTCTCTTGTAACACAAACATTATATAGGCATGCTGAGATTTATGACAGTCAAAAATCAGATTACAGAGTCCTGTTTCCATTGCCCTTTAAGGCTTCTGTCTGTTAGTTCTTTTGCTGAATTGAGTGGAGGTCAGGATCCCTTGGAGGATAGAATATTTATACAGCCATTTCTTCCTTCCTTTATAAGATTCTAGGGCTGAAAGAGCATACATGCTTAGTTTAGAGCATGTGTTGGGAACCTGTGGCCCTTCAGATGATGAAAGACTACAGTTCCCATAATCCTTGAAGGTGGATTCCAACAGCATTTAGAGGGCCATATGGTTTCTGGCCCTTGTTGAGAGCCAAAGTTTTCACTGTCTGCGAGTCATTTTTATTTTCCTAGAGAGAGATGGGGAGATGCAAGGTTCTCTCTGTGTGTGTTTTAGCTAGAAATTTAGTTGTGCTAACAGTGATGTGGAGCAACAGCTTATTTTTTCATGAGCTTTTATTTACTGAGGTTTGGGGTGGCAAGCTGTCAGAGAGAACACATGTAGAGGGATTTAGTGTTTTTCTTCCCCTGACATTACCCTTACGATGGAAGAACATCCTTTGGGGTAGTGACCAGGATTAGTCCAGCTTCAGTGAACAGTCCTAGCTTTTCTGATTCTACGCTCCCTACTCTTAGTTTAAGATCTGGGTTTCTCTAGAGCTGCTTTCAATGAGCAGAGCCTTTGGCATGCAACAATTCCCACCCAAGCAGCCAGCAGACTGTGTCTTAACTGATAGTTTCCTTATGGGGCACTGACCAAATGGTTCTGGCACTGGCCAAATGGTTCTGACAATTTGGAGAGTCAGAAGAAATCCACTAAGAGGATAGGCTGAACAGCAGCAGAAGAATGTGAAGTGTTTCAAAAGTGTCAACCAGTGGCAAAAATGCTCTATTTGCTGTTTACGTTATTTGTATTATGACTCATTGTTTATTGTCAGCTGTTTGCTTCCTTGGAGGTTTTTAAGCAGAGGTTGGATGGCCATCTGTCATGGATGCTTTAGTTGAGATTCCTGCATTGCAGGGGGTTGGATTAGATGACCCTCGGGATCCCTTCCAACTCTATGATTCTTCTATGATTCTGTGAATCTATACTTCCTACCTACGAGAACAATAAAATGCTGGAACTTCTACAGCTGGTATCTTCAACGTTTTCAGACCCAGGACCTACTTTTAACTCAAACATGATTTGGGAACACATTTCTTAATATTTTACTGTATGTTCAACAGTGCTCCTGTTGTGGGCCATCAGGCTGAGATCTGAATGGAAAAGTAGCTCAGTTTCTGAATTTCAATCACACTGAATTAAACTATCCATTATGTGGCATTCTTTGATGCCCTGTCACTGGAATCTTGTGACCTTGAGGGCAAAATCCTCAAAGTCAAAGGGAATTCTGCTTTAATTGTGCTCATTGTCTTTTTTTAAAAACCCCAGAAATGGAATCTGGCTCACCTAACACTCTTCCAGCCTGATCCTTATGAGCAGGGAATTTGCTTTTATTTTTACCAAGTGACATTTTCCTTGTGTTGACTCCCAGCTAGAAGGGAATCCCTAGTAGGTCTCTAATGGGAACTGTAAGTGCATTGGAGGGATAGTGAGTGTTGATTAGGGCTGAGCTTTGAGTAGCTGCTAATGCACATTCCTCATTGATAGGCACCAGATAGCATGCTCCCAGCAATATTTTTAACCTGTATGAGATAGGGGTGCATTAAAAGAGCTCAACTTTTCTGCTGCTTTTGCTGACACTAGGTGCCAAATTCCCCTCTGACACCGAATAGCCTGCAATCCTGAGCATTATCAACAAACAAACAAATACAACACTCCCAGCTTTGAATTCCCTTAAGACATTGGGGGATAGTTGGAGAGGGAATCAGAAACTAAAATCTCAGGATCCAGAAAATGGGAGATGAATTTGTTGGGGGTAGAGGAAAGAAATGATGGTATTCAAAATGATGTCAGGAACACAAGCTTAAGCTTTATTCAGTATGTCAGTAACAGATTTCTGAAAGCTCATAAACAAGTCACTTTACTCTGGTAATAAACAATGTGTATAGTGGGAGAACAAGTATTATCAAAGTGTGAATGTGCATTAAGGGATTTGAGCATGTTTTAACAATTAGTACAGAAGGGGGCACTGCACGGGAAATTAGACTGCCCCGTTCTCCATGTGTTTCTATTGTTTTGCAACAAACTTGGAGAGAAGGCTTTAAGGATTTGCCCAGACAGGGAACCATAAGAATAAAGATGAGATAAAATCTAAATTTGTTCTGACATGCAGACCTTCAACATAATTTGAGCAGATGCATTTCAGATGATTGTTCTCTGCTTTTAGCACCGGAACTGGGACTGATTTGGCAGAAGCTGCTACTAATCTCTTCTATCATTTCTTTGCTTAGAAAGCATGCAGTCAAAATATCGCAGGGGTAAAGAAGTTGATTTAAGTTTACTCTGCTAATTTCAAATTGTGCTCCCAAGATTTCTTTGCGAGGCATTGTTTCCAAACACAGCTGCTGTTAACACTTTTATCTTGTACTTTTTTGTTGTGTGATGTTCATTTGCACTTTCTCTCTCTCTAGGTTTGGTCCTTATCACCAGGCAGAACTGGGCAGTGTTTGCACACCATACAGACTGAAGACCGGGTCTGGTCCATTGCCATTAGTCCATTATCAAGGTAACAAGATATAAAAATTGCATTTGAATGTATGCACACCTCATGTTAAATCTGGTTTTTCTTTAGGTCTAAAGTTCCCTATTATACCAAGTATTCCGGAGGTCTAGAACTCAGCATTTAAGTATCATCAGTTCTGTGACTCAAAACCCTTTTTTGTGTAGAAACAGTAAATTAGGTAGATAAGAATACTCTATATTTTTTGTGGAATTCAGAGCATTTCCTTCTATTTCTCTTGCCCTTTGGGTTCTAGAAAAAAGAAGTTTGAACTTGCAGAATACTCTGCTCTGTATGGGTGAAGTCAAGGGGTGCACTGACTTAGATATTGTACCAAATACTTTCTGCATAAGGATCTTTAGTTTTCTCTTTTTTTCTCTTCACCCAAAGCTTACACTTGCACAATACCCTTGCAAGTGCCACTTTGGCAAGAGCAACATTATATCCTCTATGCCTATGAAAGCATAAAAAGTAAGTTGCACTTTTTTTGTGGGAAGGGACGAGGGTTAGCTTTTCGGCTGTTGGCTGATTTTTAATCTTTTCCTTACCTTTCTGCATTATGCAGTGGGGATCTGTACACACTCAAAGCAACTTAATTGCAAGTAATGGAATGTGATTGAGCATGGGAGTAGTTCTGTCACTCACCGCTGTGTCACAAGCTGTATCCAGTTGTTGCCACTTGTACAACCGCATTCCATATCGCAATTACAATCTGCAAAGTACTGTACAGTACAAAATACAGTGTTTTGCTCAGAAGATTCAAGAGAGAGAAGGCTTAGAGTGGTTACAGGCTAGCTGTAGCAAATTGCTCATTATCTAGTAACATGGCCTTTGCCATGAAACATACTATAGATATGATCATACTGTCCTACCCCCACCCCTGTGTGATATGTTAATACATAGAATTGCTCATGGCGAATCACCAGTCCAAGGAACTGAAGAAACAGAAAACTGCAGCAAGTTCAATCAGTTCATTTTGCGTGCTAATTCCAAAACTAATTAATAGAAAATCCCTGTACAGTTGGAAGATAGGTGGGATTTACAATTAGCTACAACCAATCCGTGGAAGGATTGGAATGAGAAAAGCTGCTCTTCCTTTAAGTGCAGCATACTCAAGTGCTGTTGGAAGATAGAGAACCATATTTTAAATTGAGACTGTGTTTATGGCACTTGACCTCAGAGTTCCTAAGAATACTGTAAAAATAAGCAAATTTCATTTTGATACATTGTACATATGTATTTCCTATATGAAACTTATTCAGTGCTGGTCCCCTGGCAACGAAAAAAGCAAAATGCAAAGCAGATTCTGTTGTGCATGCTCTGTTGCCAAAGCCCATACAGGTAGTTTGGTTCTATTTCAGACAGCCTCTTCTGTTGATGCTGCAGAATGAAAAAGGTATTTGTACATAAGAACTTGCAGATTCCCTGAAGCTGCTCTGTACCATTGGGGCACCAGAGAACCACTCATTTTCTTTGGGAATGTTGATAAGAGTCATTAAAACACATGGGAGTATCTTCTGGCTACTGTTCTTGTCACAGCTGGGCATCTGTGAACAAAATCTGATGTGTTGGGGAAAGATACACAGAGGAAATTAAACTGTTCCAATGAGTTATTTTGTAATCATATTGCTACTCTGCTAATGTTAAGGACTGAATGTTGGCCATAAGTTACAATTGTATACAAAAGCCACAAAACTGAACTACACAAGGCTTGAGCAGTGCCTTGTATCTTGAAGATTTGGAAGCGCTTTGTACCCTGACTCAACTTTTATTTTGAGGTATTTAACCTCAAAAGCAGCTTGCAGCAAGGTAGTTATTCTTTGAGGAAGCTCATTTTCTGTTGTGAATTACAATGAGCTTTTCTGTGGCAAACTTGTCTTACATTTGAAGCAGAGCCTAGTTTTTTCACAAGTTTTTGGAACCTTGCATTAGGCTGTTGAGAATCAAAGCATCCAATTATGCTAAATTGAACATTGTCCTGTTGTGATGGCTGGTTCTCTCTCTCTTGTGTATATCATCGTAGTCATCAGTATTCAGTTTCAGTTTATTAAAGCAGTGAAATCAAATTACAGTCACAGGAATAGGATGGGTACTGAGAACTATAGATGAATGGTGGAACAACAACAACAACAACAACAACAACAACAACAACAACAACAACAACAACATCTCTGGTGTCAAAGGCTAGAGTAAAGAAAGGAATCCTTTATGGGGAAGGCCCTCTCCTGGGGCACCACCCCTCAAACCTCTGAGGGTGGTGGAATTACCAAGACGGCTCCTTCTCTTAACACCCGTGAGGGTTTGTGGGGAAGGAGGTGGTATTTAAGATATTTGAAACCTAAGTCATTTAGGGTTTTGAACACTAATGTGAGCACCTTGAATTAGGCCTCTTGTATGCATTCTAAGGGAACCTCAGTGATCTGGCTGCTGCATTTTGAACCAGCTGAAGTTTCCAAGTCGTCTTCAAAAGTAGCCCCACAAAGAACACATCACAATAATCCTATTTGGAAGTTACCAAGGCATGGAGTACCTTGACCTTGTTGTCCTTTACTGGTTCACATCAATTGCTTGAATTTAGTGTTCATTCCCTCAGTTCAGGAAGGCTGGAGCTGTTGCTTTAGTGATGAAGCTGTTCAGATTAGGAGCTGGGTGCTCATTCCTTTCCTGGCTCTCAGCCAGGCCCTGATTCAGGCAGGTGCTTTCACCTTTTCCCTCTCTTCCTAAGTAACCTCACATGCAGCTATCTGGTAACGCTGGTGTGCTCCCAAATCTCTTGTGTTGCTCACCATCTCCTCTTCTCATATGGCCCTGGGTGAAATGTGGGTGTTGCTTGACGGCTGGCATGGAGCCCAGATGTGTGGTGGTCTCCAGACTTGGAGCAGGCATGTCTATATTCAACAGCTCTTCTGGGTTACTGGGTTACTGAGATCTACTTAGGAGACACACTCTCCTCCCACCCCATTTTCATTTTCATTTCACACTGTATTTTACAACATTACAAATAAAGAAATACACAATTTTTATTGACTCCATTTCTCCCTTTCCACTACATATTCTAATTTCTCCCTCTATCTTATTTTTGTCTTCATAGCTCATTAATTTTTTTCACTGCTGAATTTATTCTGTTACTGTTAACTTCTTAATATGTTTACAATATGTCTCTAAATATGCCATACAACATTTCCAATCTTCCTCAAATAGTTTTTTTATCTTGATCTCTTATTCTGTTTGTCAGTCTTGCCATTTCTATATATTCTATTAACTTTGTCTGCCTTTCTTCCTTCATTGATATTGTATCTTCCCTCATCTCTGAGCATAAGGAAACATGCTCTTCCTCCAAGGAGACCTCAGAGGGCCAAACCCTGGCAATTAGTGAGCACATGCTTGTCTTTTTAAGCACCAAACTGTTGAGTGGAGACCATTTGGAATGCCCTTTAAATTAGTGAACATAAGAACTATCATAGTGGTGCACGAACCAGTGGATATGTCTGTTTTTTTAAAAATGCATGTGCATCAGATAGACCAGCATTAATAGCCTTCAGCCTGCCTGTTCAGAGCTCATCCCCTTAAGCTTTACGCAGTATGCACTGGATGTGCTCCTGTGACTGGGAGAGCCCTTGCAGAACACTGTTTTATCCTCCTAAGTGATGACCCGCAGGGCTGGCCTCTTGTCAGAACACTGACTTCTCTCCCTGGAGTGAACACACACTCTCTGTCACAATATTTACCTAGCTTCATTTCCCCCCCACTGAGTGATAAATGGAAGCTTGCAGAGTGGCTTCTCCATCAGCAATCAGGTTTGGATCACTCGGCTTGTTTTATGAGACTGCTGATCCCACTGCACCTCTCTTCCCTCCCCACCCCTCAAGTATTAGAACCGATTAGCCACGTCATTAATTCTTCAATTTGACGGCTGATATAGCAAGGCCTGAAACACGGGCTGACCCTATATAATAGAACCTCTGCTCCTTAACATATTAATGATGGGAGAAGTTAATTAAAATTCCACAGAGCGAAGGTGTCGGCTAACCTATAAACCTGTCGCTTCCAAGAAAATGTTGCCACTATCCTAGAAGAAAGTGAGTTTGGGGGCAAGAGTGAGTACTCTTAGTGTAGTGTGAGAGTCCCCCCACAAGCTAAACTGAATGTTTAATCTCTTTGGGAAGAGTTAACTTTTGGGTGATTCAGTATCCTTGCCTGACTTTAGGATCTTTTTCTCCTTTGATCTACATATATATATATATATATATATATATATATATATATAGAGGATGCTGAAACATTGCCTTTCTGATGGATCCGAGCACTATTATTAATAATTGTTAGCAAACAGAATATTTTTGCTTCAGTCCAAAATACATTGTAGGTTTGATTCATTTAGCTTTTATCTTACAATCAACAAAACTTATAGATCACGTGATAACATTGAACATTCTATCTCTGCTCAATTAGGATACTTAGTACTGATATGCAGCCACTCCTGTATAGGGGTTGAAAGCAGAAACATATCCTTGGAGGTGCTTTGGGTCATCCTGGCTGCACTTGTCTCAGGGTTTCCTCCCCCACATTTGTGATACAGATGACTAGGATACCAGCATGTGCTCAATATCCAGACACTGTGTATGGCAAAGTTGAATGCACATTTGACTTTCCTCAAGTCCTGTGGACACACTTTCTTGTTTCCACCTGTGTCTGCAGTCTGATCCAGTTGGTGATGGGGTGCGTTCCTCAGTACTTTGAGGTAATCTGTTTGACAGTTCTTCATTGCAACAGAGTTTGCCATATTCAACGAGTAGTGCTGGATCTTCTTCTCTTATTATGCTAATCTCTTGTAGCACTATGAGTCTAGGCTACTGCTAACTCCATAATGGCAATATGTTCATCTGCTTCCTCTGCTACTTCAGATGTGTGTTATCTGAATGGAGGTTTAACTTGTTATTGATGTTGGCAAATGCACTGTTAAGATCCCAGCTAGATTTTCAAAGCTGTGGTTCAGTTTGCAGAAC